CGAGGTTTGTGCGTTTAATTCACCAGGAATGTTAAGCTTCCTAAGATTCACCCTATGGGGTCATGTTGGTCCTTGGCACCGTTACTGTACAATTTCAAGAGGTAAATATGCACATTGTAGATTTGAAAAATCTAAGATGTGTTAGACAGTTTATTAATTGAAGGAATAAAAAAATGAATTTGTCAACCTCATTCTTTCTGGGACACAATGCACTTAATTAACATATTCTTGGGCTTGTTTCTGGATTTAGTAAGCAGTGGCCTTTTTGGAGAGGAAAACATTTAAATCTTTAAAAGTGACCACCTTCGGTCCTAACAGTATTTAGCAATTCAGTCTAATTTCTTCTTTTTTTTTTCAGTTCAAGATATGTTTTGTTTCTTTCAAGGTTCTCTTCCATTTCAAAAACTGATTTTCCTCTTTTCCATGTCCAGAATCTTTTCACTTAATCTTATTGTATCTTATAAACAGACACCTAAATATGTCACCTTAATCACACTTTAATTATAACAGAGATGCAAATTTTCGGCGTCAGTGAAAAATGGGAGCATGGGCTTTACACAACTACTCCTATACTATATTGATGATATCCGAAAAGGCAGAGTATAATACCTTTAAGTATTGTTGCATGATGGAAAAAAACTATCGAACTCTGAAATATTAGGAGGTTTATGTAACACCTGGAACATCTAAAGGCATCTTAGAGGTAGTATTTTTCTATTGGTAATTACATGGTGTTTTACCCCAAAAATGTAAATACAGCCAATTAATATCTCAATTTTATAGCAAAAGGAATAGCTATGAAGCCAAACACAAGATTCACCAAACCAGACCGTTTAAAAATTAGACCTTGATTTTTAAAAAGAGTTTTTAATTCAGGGTACACTCAATTTAAATCTCAGAATTACCTAACTAAACTTTCAAAAAATTAAGTATATCTAACGATATTAATTATGATCGATTCTTAGATCTTGTTTTGTAATAAAATGATGACTTTTACAGGAAAAGGTGGTTAACATTTGAGGGCTATTTAAATATAGACAATTCTAAACTACCTGGTAAATAAAAACTCTTCACCTATATTAATTTCAACAATTAAAAATCTTTAAAGAAACCAATATATCTGAAAATTCTGTTAATCATTGCTTAGAAATTTCAGTTCAAGTATACTTAGAAAATAAAGTCTTGCTTTACTCTGAAGAATAAAGTTCTGACTCCAATTAGCTTTAATACACCAACATAGTACATTAAACAAACATTTATCATGGACCTACTACGTGCAAGACACTTGCTAGGTGCTATGGTTAGTAAAAAAAATCACCTAGTAAGATTAACATGTTTTATTAAATGGAATTTTGCAAAAGTCATTAACAGAATCTCAATCCAAAACATAATTGAAAAGAATACCTTTATATGAAATTTTGAATAGTACTCCATGATAGAGCTGCCATGTGTGGGTTTGCATCTATTAAAGACATAATACTCACTTATGGTGAGATAAATAACAAAACTAGTTTCAGAAATATCTCAGTATTTTAATCATACTAGTGTAAATATATCGCCCATAATAAACTTTTCACATAAAAGGTTAAATTTTGGGTACCAAATGAGCAAAACAAAATTTTATTCAAAGATTCCTTTATGTAAAAGAGGATATATCTGAAAGTCTGTTCAGATCATAAGAAATTGCCTTTTTGAGTTTTCCAACTAATTTATTTAGAAAGAAGATTATAGTTTCCAATGAAGTTTAGTAGAGGTATGAATTCTAATTGCTTGTTTAAAAAACTTAGTATTAGAGCCAATATAGAATTTTAAGCACTTAGAGCAAGTCAGGAATCTGAGTTAAGGATAGTGTGTCTAGTTAGCGTTATAGAACTATCTCATATATATAGAAAATGACCTCAGTTTCTATGACTCATTATAGAAATGTACCTCAACGTTGTTGAGGGTATAACAGACTAAATATAATATGCACAAATAGAAGGTAAATAAAACTTCAATTTAAAAAGGAGATAAATATGAACAGTACTAACTTATGATCCAAATGTGGTTTTAAATATTTCTTTCATAGTATCTACTTATGTAAATGATTATGGAAAAGCAAATACAACAATTTGGTGCCTAGCTTAAGGAATAAAGAAAATTATAAAAAGATATATTACCCATAGAGCAAAAATACATTTTCCCATTGTAGGGTTAGAGGTTATATCAGAAAATACTTTACTTGAGTTTTTTGTGGTTCGCCTCAGATGATTAGAGAGATGAGACAGTACTGAGTTAGCTGCTGTTATGTGAAGAATATTAGAGACAACAGGCTTTGTTTTATTCTACAGATACTAGATATACTTTTTCAAAGGATATTTTGAGAATATGGAATCAGATTTACAGGATGACATTATTTTAAGATTGAAATTGTACTTTTCTATGAAGTTATTCTATAAATACTATGGTAATTTTTTTTTTATATTACTATGTATTGTTAAAAACTTACTTGAACTTTAACAATTCTGGTAATTTAATAGTAAGTTTTATCCATTCCTAGGTATGAGAATTAGCATATTCAGCCAATTGTCATATATATAACTCTACATGTATCTCACCAAAGACAAATACAACTTTCTCACTCCTATATTCCCTATATCCAAAATAGTCCGGGACACACAGTAAATATTCAATAAATGTTTACTAAATGAATAATTAACATATATTTGAATTCTTTTATGCTATCTGCTATTCTTCCTTTTCACTTGATATTTTTTAGAAATATACTAAATATACTTAAGATATATAAGAAGAAGTTTGGTATCTGATATATGAGTTAAAATGAAAATGAGCTATTTATACCCATTATGTTTTTTCCTATAATTTTCATACTCAACATATATGTTAAAAATCAGTTTTAGATAATTTGAATTATATTTTATCAACACTTATGCCTACATCTTTAACAAAATTTCTGCTTCAGATACTATTACTTATTTATAGGCCTGTTATGAAATAATGTATTTTCCCTAATTTTTTAAATTTCAAAAACCTCTTAGAAAAGATGAATTGTTTTTTGTTTTTTGGAAATAGCTATATCAAGTGTTTACTTATATTTCTCTTAAGTGTTACAGAATAGGGTAAGATACCTATCCTTCTTTACATATAATTAATTCCATCACAAGAACTAAGCTGTAATGCATTAAAAATAAAACAAATGTATTTTTAAATAATTTAGTGCATTATGGCTTGGCTGCAGTGTTTGGGAAGTTTCACATTGATTTTTAACTCAAAATTGCCTTACAGTAGGACTCTGAGTAGGAATTAGATATTGAACTGGTATCTTTCGTATAAGAGTAAAGTTAAAATATATAGTTAAGATACACAAAACAGTATAATTTTGTTTGAAGGCCATTTTAGTTTGACAAATTTCAAAGGCATGTTAAGAACATGATTTGTCCAGAAATTTATTAATTGTTGCCATATCCCAAAAAAGAATTTATATTTCATAAGTTTGTAATCTGGTAGTTACCTTTTGTAAATGCACTATGAGAATTCTCATTTTTGTGTTTTTAGTGCACATTTTCTCCCTATTTTATGCTTTAGTAGATTTCCATTACTGCATATATCTCAATTAGCTTTTAAAACATTTGAATATATTTGCTATATACGCTTGCATTATATCTATTATCATTCTTAGATTGCTAGCAATTACTTTGAATAGAAAAATCAGCCATGCTACCATTTATTTCTTTATGAAAACATCTGGAATGCTTTTAAAGCTTAAACTATTATATTATCTTTCAGTGACTGACTAGAAGACCTTGGGTTCCTTCATCCTTTAGCATTGTAAAAGAGCATTTTCCACATCATCACGTTATATTGCTAATTCCTGGTAAACAACCATTTTGTACCTGCAAGGTATTAACCAAAAGCCATGAATTCGCCTTTTAACAGTGCTTGTCATTTAAACCACCTAAACATAATTTCCATTTCAAGCAAAATTTATAATTAGACATTTTTTGCTTAAAATTAATATCGGGCTTACATGCATGCATAAGGGTTAGGGCGACAGTGGAAGATTTTACAGCTCAAAACTGCTCAGCATACAGCTAATTAATCTATTCAGTTAGGCCTAATCCGTTTTCTATTTGTATGTGAGGTGGGAGCTCTCATCTTTCTGCCACTTTTAAATGACCTCACATTTCCAAGAGTAAATTTGGAGAAAAGAGCCAGTTCAGAGGACTGAAACTGGACTCCCATCTCATGGTGTTAATTATCTTTTGGTGATTACAAGAGCTTGGGTTCCTTCATCCTTTTAATGTAGTACAACTGCATCTGATCATCACATTATATTGCTAATTCCTGATAAACAACCATTTGTACTCCTACACAGCAAGCAGAGGGTAGATTTGTTCCCTCTATAACCCTAACGCAGGCTTTTGACCTTCAGTCTGGGATGCACTTTCGTTAGTCACTGGGGCCAATGTAGTGCACAAATGGGCGGCAGATCTGGTAGCATTTCCATCGGTGAACTTTGGGAAGAGTCCAGGATGTGAATTTAATGGGTGGAGAGGCTGCGGCAGCACTGGGAAGTTAGCGCGGCCAACTGCAGGAAGCCATGCTTCATTACACCCTTCATGGGAGCTGGCACACTCGCCCAGCCCTTGTTACCCACGGGCCGGCTCTAGACGAGAAGGCCTCCAGGTAGGTTCCCGGGGTAGGGCGATCCCCCTAGTGAGTCCCCTCGTGCCACTCCGACGACTGCCCCTCCCGGCCCTAGGCGCCCGCCTCCCCCACCGCCAAGGCCTCTTTCCGAGGCGCAGACTCAACCCGCGCGGCCGGCGCCGCAGAGGGCGGCCCCAACGTCCCCGCCCCCGCGCGCGCGCCCCCGCGCCCTCCCGTTGGCTCGTTCCGGCCTCGGCGCGCTCCCCTGGCCCCCACCCCGGCACACCTCGGCGGCGGCGAGCTGCGCGGGGGCGGGGAAAGGGCCCGGGAGGTAGGCCGGAAAAGACGGCCGGACGCGGCGGCGCGCACGCAGGCCTCGCCTCTCTGGGACCTCCTCCCTCACGCTGGCCGCAGGGCGCGCACGCCGAGTGACGCTCGGAGGAGGAAGCGCAGCCCTCGTCCCCTCCCTCGCTGCCCCTGGCCCAGCGGGAGCCCCCCCAGTGCGCCTGTGCGGAGGCCTACTTGATTATGTGTGCCCTCTCCGGCCGCCCGCGTTAGCGGCCGGGTGGAGGTGGGGAGGGAAGACGACGAGGAGGCGGAGGCGGAGGAGGCGGTGGAGGGGAGGTGGGGGGAGTCAGCAAGGACATGGCTCCTGACTCCTGTGCGGAACGTGAGTGACTGAGCGGCAAAGCCCGAGTGAGCGAGCGGCCGAGCGGCTGGCGGGGCGGGGTGCGGGGCGCCGGGCGGGAGCGGGGCGCGGGGGCTGTGCGGGGGGAGCACTGATTGGCTTGCATGTGTTTTTTAATGGTCCCCCCAACTCCCTCTTAGATGGTCTCTAGCGACCGGCCCGTGTCACTGGAGGACGAGGTCTCCCATAGTATGAAGGAGATGATTGGAGGCTGTTGCGTTTGCTCAGACGAGAGAGGCTGGGCCGAGAACCCGCTGGTTTATTGCGACGGGCACGGCTGCAGCGTCGCGGTGCATCAAGGTAAACACCCAACCGCCCGCCGGGCCGAACCGGCCTGCGCCCAACCGTCACCGCTTCCCCCACCTTGGCAGCAACTGCCAGTCTCCGCCCCTCCCCCGCCCCGCCCCCGCCCCGTGCCGCGGCCGCGGGAGGGACTCGGAGGGTCCGCCGCGGGGCGGAGGGGGTGTGGGCCATGCATGTGGGAGAAAGTGCGTGTGGCCTGGCCTGTCATGTGATTCTTCTCTCACTCTCTCAAGTGTCATTTGGCCGTCGAAGCCTGCGCCCGGGGCCGGGGTCTGGAGGCTACCCGAGGCGGCGGCGGCGCGGGGCCGCGCCCTGCGCCCCAGGGTCGGGTAGGGGTGGGCGAGCGCGCGCCCCTCTCGGGGTCCCGGTAGGCGGGGGTGTGGGAGCGTGGGGTCCCCTCCCCTGCCTGCCCTTGTCTGCCGCAGTGTGCCTGGAGACTTCCTGTGGCATGGAGACAGGCTCGGGAACGCGAGTCTGCTCTGGGGAGGGGCGCGGAGTCAGGAGGGGGCCGCCTGGCCTCTTCGGGTTAGGGAGGGAAGGCGGGCTCTGCTGCACCCTGAGCTTTCTGGCGGAGACCCTGCTGCTGCCGCCGCCGTCGGGGAGCTTCCTGCGGAGAAGACGGCGGAGGCCGAGGTCAGTCGTGCTGATTGATGCTGGACTGTCTGGGCTGAGCTGCCCGGGGCTGGTGGAGAAGGCTGTTGCTTGCTGCGTCAGGCCACCTCCCCAGCCTAGACGACCGAAGAGAAGAGGAGGTGGTGGTGCCCCCAAGTAACTTGGGGATCCTCTTAGTTTATTTCTGGGTATTTCCACTGGGTGATTGTTTTGGCTGTACAGAAGGGCCGAGGACACTAGTAAGATATTTTTATGGCCATTGAAGTTTTTGGCTTTTTCCATTTCATGTGGTCAGGCGTTGAGGCTGAAACTATGTCATTTTTGGTGGCTCCCCGTTTATTTACCACCCCATCTCCCGTCCCATTTTTGAATCTGGCATTGGGTGATGCAGATGCTATTTAGTAGTGTGTTGGAAGGGACACTACCAAAGGACAGAGGGGAAAATCTGAGCATAAGGTGCCAAAGTACATTCTTAGAAGAATAGAGTGTCACAACTGGGAAGGGAGACTTGGATGCAGTGGTGATGGTTCTGAGATAGGGCATTAGTTTAACCTCAGAATGAGGTTATTCTCAGAGTCTTTTGAAGAAGAGCAAAGTCGCATACTTTGCTTTTTTAAGCAGTGAAAGCAGTGCGTATCAAAATTAGATACTAGGTCATAGAACTGATATATTTCTGTTACAGTGTTCCTTGGCATTTTTGGGAGTATTTCTTAGGAATTGAATGATAAATTGTCACCTTTTGATAAGTAATCTCCCAGGATAGAAAATGTTCATTTAAATCTTTAATTTTGGCTGGGTGTGGTGGCTCATGCCTGTGTTCCCAACACTTTGGCACCTTGGGAGGCTGAGGTGGAAGAATTGCTTGAGGCCAGGAGTTTGGGACCAGCCTGGGCAATGTAGTGAGACCCTGTCTCTACAAAAAATAAGAAAAATTAGCTGGGTGTGGTGGCACACACCTGTAGTCCCAGTTACTTCTGAGGTTGAGGCGGGAGGATTGCTTGGGCCCAGGATTTTGAGGTTGCATATGATTGAGCCACTGCATGCATAGGCAGCAGAGCAAGACTCTGTCTCTTAAAAAAAAAAATATATTTTCCTTTCTAGAAGTAAATTTGAATAAAAATATAGGTTTTGGACAATAATGCTGTGTGTTTTGGTAGATAGAACAGTTTTACTCAGATGTATTTCCAAGTGTTTAAAAGGGATTAGAAGGTCAGCTTTTGGAGTTTTAAAAAAGTTTTGCTGATTTTATGTTCTTTAAGTGCTTCCCAATATTTAAGATATTTTCAAGTTTCCACTGAGCTTGCAAGAATTTAAATTTGGATTATCTGTGGTTTTAAATTTTTGGAAAATTTTCAATTTTGAGCTAATTAAATATTAATATTAAAAACCAAATTTTAGAAGCCAGGTGAAGTGGGTCACACCTGTAATCCCAGCTACTCAGAAAGCTGAGGTGGGAGGATTGCTTTAGGCCAGGAATTTGAAACCAGCCTGGGCAACATAGCAAGACCCTGTCTCTTAGAAAAGAAAAAAATTAGGTGGGCATGGTGGTGTGTGCCTGTAGTCACAGCTACTTGGGAGGCTGAGGCAGAAGGATTGCTTGAGCCCAGGAATTTGAGGTTACCCTGAGCTATGATGACACCACTGCACTCTATTCTGAGTGACAGAGTGAGACCCTTTCTCAAAATGAATGAATGAATGAATAAATAATCCCATTTTTAAACAAATAGACTGTGAATTAGATATGTTATATACTCAGATCAATTGTTGAAAGCATTGGCATTATGTGTTCAGGAATGTGCATTTTTCTGTTTTTACAACAGCTTTACTGATATATAATTCACATACCATGCAATTCATCCATTTAAAGGGTACAATTCAGTGGTTTTTAGTATATTCACAGAGTTGTGCAACCATTACCACAATCAATTTTAGATCCTTTTCATCACCCCAGCAAGAACCATTAGCAGTCACTCCCCATTTCTTCCCAGTTCTCCCAGCCCTAGATAATCACTAATCTACTTTCTGTCTCTGTTGATTTGCATATTCTGGACATTTTATATAAATGGAAGCATTTCACTTTTAACATTACGTTTTGTTTTCCGCAGTATCTGTTGCTCTTTTTGAAGGATGATTTGAAAAATATTTTCATTAAACTTACCTAAAATGTTTGCTATTTAAATTGTGGTGTATGGGAGTGAATTAATGAATTTCTGAGTTATTCTATGAAAAAAATCTTTATATGTTAAATTTTACATGATATTCTTCCTATTATAAGAGGAAAAAATAATTAAAAATTTAACATGAAATTTATCTAGCTGAAATAACACAGAAGAGTTGCATTTAAAATTTTTGCTTTGTAATTAAATAGGCTATATATGTGGTAAATGGGATATAAAATATTTAATTCTCTGTAAGGCAGATAATTTACTTGAATAGTTTGAGAGATAGTTTAATAGGGCTCTGTGAAGGCTTTGTTTTTCCATAATTCCTCTAATCTTAACGTTTTAAAACATTTTATTTTCCAACAGCTTGCTATGGCATTGTTCAAGTACCCACTGGACCATGGTTTTGCAGGAAATGTGAATCTCAGGAGAGAGCAGCCAGAGTGGTAAGGACTGTTTATCAAAAACATTAACTACTTTAGTGAGTGGCTTAGGATGCTGCACTCATGTTGCAGTTTGAAAGGTTGTCAGTCTTTTGTTCAAATACTGTAACTTAAAGATTTGGGCCAAATACTGACTTGGAGTTTTAAACAGATTTTGTAAAATCTGAAAAACAAATTGAGCCAAATAACTATATGTTGATGAATAGTTTGAACACATAAAAGACATACAATCATATTTGGGCTTTATTAACTGTAGTTACAAAATCAAGAAAGCCTGAAGTGGTTTAAGGTTACATTGGCTCATTATAGTTAAAATGTGGCAGTAGACACATAAGGCAGTTATGTTGATGATTCTGCTAGGTTTTGTTCAATAGAAAGAAAAAAACAAGAATTTAAGTGACTATCATATTCCTTTTACTACATCTGCATGTGTATAGTTTAACTTTGAACACTGACTGCTTTCAGGTAGTCCCTTTGGCAAACAGTAGAAAACTCTTCCTTTTTTACTTGGCTGGCTACCTTCTTTCTGAACTTTTGTAAACCTCCTGTAAGAATGAGGGAGGTGTGTTTATTCTTTGTAGCCAAAAGCATTTTTTCCAGTTGAACTTCTGGAAATATCAGAGAGAAATAGGTTTAATCTTCATTAGTCACATTAAAGTATTACTATTTGCTTTCTTTTGGTGTTGATTATGGAAGTTGACAGAAGGCAGAAAACAAACATTTCATCTATTCTACCTGGGCATATAGCAAGAGCAGAACCTTTTTGATCAGTAAAAATATGACCGAGTAGCCTATATGGTATCATGAGTCTCAGAGCAATATTTTTCTAGTTCTGTCAATACGTTTTGATTGTGAGAATGTACTGTAGCAGAATTACAGCTATTCTAGCATTAGCATATGGCATATTGCAAATGGAGGATGGAATCAGTCATAAAAATTTTAGGACTTGATGAAATATGTATAGATCTACTCTTTGACTTTTTTCTCCTTGTGGCTTGTTATGGTTTGGGGTGCATAGATCACCAAACAAAGGAATCTATGGTTTAATTTATTAGTAATAATCACTGACAATGAGATGAGGCTGTTCTAGGGGGTGTCATAGTAGATTAAAGGCCAAAAAACATAAGAAAATAGGAACGTGGGTATCAAGACAGAGGATGAAGAGATGAATGGAGAGTGGTGGAATGCCAGCACCATATTGCCTAAAATGCCACTTGTTGGCTGTTTTTATTTCTTTATTCTCTCCAAGGATATGGGCAAGGTTAATAAGGTAGTTATCTTAAAAGGTATATTAGGGGCATGTTTTATTTCAATTCATTTAGTGGGATATGGGCACCGTTAAAGGTTTTAAAGCAGAGGCAGACCAGGTTTGGTGGGTGATACCTGTAATCCCGGTGCTTTGGGACCTAGACAGGAGGATTGCTTGAGGCCACGAGTTTGGGACCAGCCTAGATACATAGTGAGACCCTGTCTCTACAGAAAAAAAAAAAAAAGTTGGTCATGGTGGCATGAGCCTGTAGTCCCAGCCACTCAAGAGACTGAGGCAGGAGGATCACTTGAACCCAGGAGTTTGAGGCTGCAGTGAACTAAGATTGTGCCACTGCACTCCAGCCAGTGGCAGAGCAAGACCTTGTCTCTAAAAGGAAAAGAAAAGGAAAAAAAAAAAAGAGAGGCACAGCCTTTTCTAAATTTCTATAATGTATGATTATAAAATGGTAGGGACCTTTGTAAGAAACAAATCTCATTCTAAGCTTATATAAGGAAAGAAAGGATTTTTTATTATAAGGATACAAGAGCCAAGAACCTTAACGTTGAAATGTATCTCTGACCCAGGAAAGGAATTGAATTAATCTTATTTCTGCTGATGCCTGCTTTATTTCTTTCTGCAGATTTTGTCTGCTACTTACGCCAACAGTCAGTAGCCAACTTTTTGGCCGGGTGTGGTGGCTCACGCCTGTAATCCTAACCTTCTGGGAGGCCAAGGTGGGAGGATCGTTTGAGCTCAGTAGTTTGAGACCAGCCTGAACAAGAGCAAGACCCTGTGTCTACTAAAAATAGAAAGAAATTAGCTGGACAACTAAAAATATATACAAAAAATTAGCTGGGCATTGTGGCGCATGCCTGTAGTCTCAGCTACTCGGGAGGCTGAGGCAGAAGGATTGCTTGAGCCCATGAGTTTGAGGTTGCTATGAGCTAGGCTGACGCCATGCACTGTAGCCCAGGCAACAGAGCAAGACCCTGTCTCAAAAAAAAAAAAAAAATAGCCAACTTTTTCAGTGTTTGCTATGTGCCAGATACTGTGCTAAATGTTTTATATCCATTTTCTTATTTAATTATGCTATCAAATCTGTGAGGTAGATACTCTGTTATCCTCATTTTATAGATAGGGACACCACAGTTTTTTTTTCCTTTTTTTTATACTTTCTCTTTTCTCCTTTTTTTAAATTTCTTTTTGTATTCTTATTCTTCCCATAGTGATCCTACTGCAGGGGACACCATAATTTTAAAAACTAGTTGGATTCTGGGCTGGGATTAAGCTTTCAACCATCATGTTATATATTATTACTTCCTCTGGTGAAAGATGATCATACTTCAGCTCCTGATATTTTCTTTCTTTCTTTTTTTTTTCTTATTTTTTTGTTTTGGAGACAAGGTCTTGCTCCGTCACCCAGGCTGGAGTGCAGTGGCTTGATCATAACTCACTGCAGCTTTGAACTGCTGGGCTCAAGCCATCTTCCTGCCTCAGCCTCCCAAGCAGCTAGACCTGCAGGCATGTTGGCTGATTTTTAAATTTTTTTGTAGAGACAGAGTCTCACTAGGTTGCCTAGGCTGGTCTCTCACTCCTGGCCTTAAGTGATCCTCCCACCTCAGCCCTCCCAAAGTGCTGGGATTACAGATGTGAGCCACTGCTCCTGATATTTTCTATTTTCTGTCTCAAGAGACTAAATCTCAGTCTGAATATTATCTTTTCTGGGAAAAATCCTCTGATTTGGCTTAGATGAGGTGCCTAGCTCTGGACCGTTTTGCCGTGGTGAGACAATACGGTCATGTTGCTCAGACACAATCAGGAATATCTCTGTGGATTGGGGATAGCTCAGTTCTTCTCAGGGAAGGGGGATTGTGAGCTGGCAGTACTTTGACAGATACTGAACAGTAAAGATCCAGAAGAATGAGGAGCATTTTGAAGAAAGCAGATTGATAGTATATGGAAGACCGGGCACGGTGGCTCAAATCCTGGCACTCTGGGAGGTTGAGGCAGGAGGATCGCTTGAGGTCAGGAGTTCAAGAACAGCCTAAGCAAGAATGGGACCCTGTCTCTACTCGTAATAGAAAAATTAGTTGGGTGTCTTGGTGTGTGCATGTAGTCCCAGCTACTCAGAAGGCTGAGGCAGAAGGATTGCTTGAGCCCAGGAGTTTGAGGTTGCTGTGAGCTAGGCTGATGGCATGGTACTCTAGCCAGGGCAACAGAATTCTGTCTCAAAAAAAAAAAAATTTGTTAAGATACTGCTGTTTTAGGTCTAAGTGAAGGACTATTCCTTTCCTTCGGGAGATGAGCTGTCTTTTTCCTACCCATCAGCCTCTTTTTATTGCAGTTCTTCCTGGCTTCTTATATCATCAGGGAGAAACTGCTGGGTGGAATTTAAACCAAAGTTTTAGGAATTGATCTAAGGTTGCATTATATTTTAATTTTTGCTTAATAAAAATATGTGTATAAATAAATGAGTATATATCTGTAAAACCATATGAATTATATACATGTATATTTATATATAATTTTACTAATTGGCATATTAATATACATTTAATTATCATAAATGGTTCTGAACAGTATAGGACATGTAATAAACATCTGTGCATTTCTACCCAGAATGAACAAATGTCAGTTCTTGATACTTGCTTCAAATCTTCCCTTTTGCATAAAAGGAATAATAAATTAAAAAAATTAAGTTGTAGTACTTCTTATCCTCTCTCCAGTCTTTTAATCTTTTTTATTGTCTGTTGGGCCCATCTGTGTTT